TGAGCAATAAAGTGGAAACAACGAAATGTGGGTGTCAGGCAGCCCTTTATGTTGAGCTCTGGGGTAGGGTGTGGTGGGTACATATGGGCAGGGGCCGAATGAAGAGGGACAAACTCCAGTCCTACTTAGGTGCAGCGTATGCTACAGACCCTCTGTGCACACTCTGAGCTCCAGTGCACATTACACCTCCCAATTGGGCAGCACCTCACCATGGATCCCCAATACACCCTTCAGCAGCCTTCATTAGAATGCTGGTATTATTCACCCCATAACGGGAAGAGGAAATACAAACCTTGGGAAAACTAGGATCAGAAAAGCTGGGTCTGTACTGCTGCCCCTGTTGTGGCAGTCATCTTGGATGTTTTGCCTGCACACCATGTACATACTTGGCATCTGTGGAGGCCTCAGGCGTTGGGTGCTGCACGTCAAACCTGGGTCTTCTGCAAGTGCACTTAACTTCTTGAGCCATCTCTGTAGGCCCAGTCCTTAGCTTCTTAAGGTATAAAAGCTCTAGCGTCACTGGTTGGCTAAGGTCACATAGCTTGTTACATGAATTCAAGTACTGATGAAGTACTTCTTAAATCCACCTCCTCTGTCTTAGCAGGCACACACTGTACCTCCTTCATATCTCTTACCTAACTTGAGTTTTGACCTTTGTAAGAAGCCAGGTGACCCATGTCAGCCACATTGAACTTCCTCTTTTTTACCTACAGGTCAGCTCATTTCCCCCCTTGCCTTTCTGTGTGGGCTCTGACAGTCTGCCTGCCCATGTACCTGTGTAGCTCTTGACATTGTAGAAGATGTGTTCTATGGAAAATGTCGCAGTTCTGTGTGTCAGGCACCATGTCTGCTAATTCCCTTGGTAGGTGTAAGTCCAGGTTTGGGCTTGATTTTTTTTTTTTTTTTTTAAGCCTGGTTCCTTTGGGTATTTCTAACTTTGACTCTTGACTTTGCTTTAATGACAATATCAAGCAAGCCCTTGCTAAATTGCTTAACAGTATAATCTTTGACCTGTACCAAGTACTCCCTGTGATACAATCTTTGATCCAACTGTCCTAAGAAAGAAGCTTGGCCTATTTTACAGATGAGGAAACTCAACCAAAGCTTGGAGAACAGCTCAGTTACTAGATTGCTTACTCCAAAAGTGAGTACCTGGGTTTAGATCCCCAGCATCCATGTCAAAAGCTAGGTACTGGACCTAGAGAGATAGCTTAGTAGTTAGCACTTGCTCTTCAGAGGCCCAAGGTTTGGCTCCCAACCTGAGAAGAGGATGCACTGCCCTCTTGTACTCTGCACAGGCACTGCACATGGTGCATATGTGGAGATTGAGGCACTCACATAAACGTTTTATATTTTAAAGACTTGTTTTTATTTCTGGCATGGTGACACACTAATTTCAGCACTCAGGAGGCAAAGACAAGGGTAATCCCTGAGTTCAAGACCAGCCTGGTCTACATAGTGAATCCAGGGGCAAATAGGTAGTCCTTAAAAGCAGTGTGTATTTGTGAATTGCATGTATCTATGTGTACAGTCGCCATAGATTGCAGAAGAGGCTGTTAAATTCCCTGGAACTGGAGTTAGTAGTTGTAAGCTACCCATCATGTGCTGGGAACTGAACACAGGTCCTCTCCAAGAGCAAGTCCTCCCAACCTCCAACTCCAGGGGATCCAATGTCCTCTGACTTATATTGTCATCTGTTCACACACGATATGCACTCACAGACAATGCACATCGTAAGTAAAACCAGGCATGAAGCACTGGGTTAGATCCCCAGCACATGAACCTTGCATGATGGTGCATTTGGGAGGTATGGGCAGAGGGATCAGAAGTTTCAGCTACTCAAGTTCAAGACCAGCCTGAGATAGGTGAGATCCTGTCTCAAAAAAAAAAGTTTGCAAAAGTCAAACAGAAATGTCTCCTTCAAGATGAGTTCTCTGAACTAGCCTAAATTACTTTGAGGTCATGTGATTGAGAGCAAGTCTTGAGCCTTTCTACAATACATGGGTAAAAAGCATCCCAAATCCTGTTTTTTTCTGGAAAGCTCTTTGAGAGTCGAAGAACTTAAAATTTACTGTACTTTTATAGAACAGTAGAGATGGAAAAGTCCTGTTTATTATAACATGAAAACTGTCTAGTGAAGATGATTTGATAAAGTGATTTAAGTCTTTATAGCCAAAAATAATCCTGCTAACATATTGAAGTTTGTCTAGACAACACTACTCATGAGTGTCTTCTAGACACTTGGCCCTTGCTTACCCACACTTGAGCATTTCTACAGGGAATGTGCTCAGAAAGTCCAGCAGCAACTGCTCTGAGCTTTTACTATAGATTTCTAAGTAATTCCTCTCTGGAAATAAGCTAAAATGGAGTTCTGTTAACTGTGCCACCTAAATGTTTCCAGCCTATGAGGTGTCACTTCTCCCTACATATCTTTCTTCTCCTTCTGCCCCCCACATCATTGTTCACTGCTTGCCTGCTCTTTAAAAAGGCACCTTTTCGCCACCTGCACTAAATACTGTGTTGTCCCTCCACTGTGAGAGTCTTCCCATTCCCATCAGACTGAAGAGGAAAGTCCCTGCCATGGTGCCCATAAAACATACAGGGCCTAATGCCTTCTGCTTGGTGCACCTGTGACATCCCCCTGAGAGTACCTCAAATAAATTGTGTGTCTCATTTCAGCTGAAGGAAAAAGTAACACTAAGAACTAGGAAAAAAAAAATACTTGTAAGAAAATCATTGCTGGGAAAAGGGATCCAGCCCTTTAGCTATGCAAAGGCCCAGTCATGTGTTCCAAGGTGATGTACTCAAAGGATGTGGGTGTACAAAGATTTGGTGGTTCAATGTGTAAATGCTTGCACAAGCATGAAGACTTTCCAGATCTCTAGCAGCCATGTGAAAAGTTGGCATCCTAAGGCATGCCTGCAACCATGAAGCGAAGTGGTGCACAGTTCACTGGCCACACACACTACATGAAGAAGTAAGCTCTGGGTTAAGTGAGAAACCATGTCTCAAGAAGATGGAGAAGCAATTGGGGAAGACATTTCAAAATCAAACTCTGACTTTCATGTATGTCCAGATGGTCAAGCACATTCACAAGTGCACAGACATAACACAAGGCTTAGTTTATACCTTTTTTTTTTTAGGGACATTCTTTCCGATCTAATTTTATTTGGCTCTCTTGATTGACAAAAGACATGGCATCCAAAGTTGTAAATGACATGACATGACCTTCATGATGATAAACAATTGTACAAACTGGGGCTGGAGAGATGGCTCAGTGGTTAAGAACACTGGCTGCTCTACCAGAGGTCTCAAGTTGGGTTCTCAGCAACCACATGGTAGCTCAACCATCTGCAGTGAGATCTGACACCCTCTTCTGGCCTGCAGACATACATGCAGGTGGAACACTGTATACATAATAAATCTTGGGAAAAAACAATTGTACAAACAACCAGACACTGCGACTGAAATTCCAGAACAAGAACTCCAAATGAAGGGAGATTATTGTGGAGTACTGGGTCAAGAGGTGATTTCAAGGAATTGGGTCAGACCAGCACATACACTGAGAAGTAGGCTGCTGCTCTACTCTTCTGTCCTAAGAATATTTGTGTTTATCTTATAATTTTATTAAGGAAAAAACAGTAAAAAAAAAAACTGCAACAAAAAATAAATTACTTATTATATACAGGCACAAACACTACAAGGTTGATTTTGTTTTCTCCTTAGAAACCTAGTAAGATATTTGGGGGTTGAACAAGGCTGACAAGTAGACAGCAGTTACGTGAGCATACAATCCCTCCATGAATAACAATGAGTTTGTTGCACCAGGCACACCTGTGTGACCTGGACCTTCCAATGGATCTAGCTGCCCCCGCAGCTCACCCCTGACAATAGAAGTTGGTAACCATTTATCCAGGAATGGATTTGCAGTCCCCAGGACTGATTCAGACTGCCTCCTGCTTGTATTTTTCTTTTGTATTTTCAGCTGTCAGATCCACTGAGACCAAATCCATCATTTTCCCTCTCCTAGAGTAGAAAGGTCTCACTTACAGCCATCTCGCACTACTTTCAACACAGAAAGGCCATCTCTGGTCCAACATACTCAAAGTGTATGTTTGTTTTGGTTGAGAAACCATGTGTAAATCAGCCCAAGCTTGCACAAAAAAAAAAAAAAAAAAAAAAAGGGAGACAGCCTCATGTGTTTCAGGCTGGCCCTAGACTGCATGTGATTGAAAGTAACCCGGAACTTCTGAACTCCTGCCCCTACCTCCCAAATGCCAGGAAGGTGGTTTTTGTTTGTTTTTATTGTTTTTGTTTGGTTTTTGAGACAGGGTCTCATGTAACCAAAGTTGGCATAGAGCTAGTTCAGGGCTGACTTTGAAATCTTGGTCCTGCCTACTCCTCCTCCCACGTGCTGGAGTTACAGACAAGCCTGACCACATCTGGCTTAGTACTCCTGTTGTCTCACAAAGACACCTCAAAAGAATGGCAGGACCTGACTCAACAGGGTAGGTATCCCAAAGCAGCCAGTCCTGAGAATAAGGATCCCACCTAAACTAGAGTGAGACCGCTTGAAAGAGGAGGCTAAGCGCTGGTCGTGGGGGCTCCACCAAATAAGCCAAAGAATCCAGCAACTTTCATTTTCCCAGGTGCTGCCCCAGTGACCGGAAAGCCCCTAGCATTTTGGATCAAACGTCTCACGTCTACCACTTTCAGCCAAGTTACTCAATCTTGCTGAACGTGTTTTCCTCATGGGAAGAAACATTTAAGCTTACATAGCTGTGTTGATTTTAGAGGCGTGCTTTGCAGTAGGCGCTGCTCACAGAGTACACAGCATAAAAATTGCTTTTTCATTATAATCCAGAATGTTATATATGTAAGTAGAAACAACTGAGACAAAGCTGTCACAAGTAATACTTTTTGCTACTGGAGTCTTTTCCTATTCGCATTTTTAAACGTTTTGCTGCATGTGATCTGTGCATCACGTGGGTGTCTGGGACGCCAGAAGAGGGCGTCTGGCTTCGGATCTCTTGGAACTGGAGTTAATGACGGGTGCGAGCGCCACATCAGGGCTGTGAATCGGTCCTGGGTCCTCCGCAAAAGCAGCATGTGCTCTTAATTGCTGAGCTATTTTTCTGGCCTCTTAAATTTTTTAAATGTGGGTTGCAATCCACTAAATTGTGTCGATAACTCCTTTTGGGTAATTTCATAAAAGAACTGTTGGGAAACAAAATTATTAATTATGACAGCTACTAATAAGAGCAACCGTTGATGGTTTGACTCGCCTAAGAGGAGACAGTGCAGCCCCCGGCCTCAGGTCGGCTCGGGCCGGGAAAGCCTGCCTCCTTCCCTAAGGTTAGGCAAAGAAAGCCGGAACTGGAGGCTCAGGCGGTGACGTACACTTCCGGTTTGGTGGCCTTAACGCGCGCCCGCGCGCGGCTGTCGTGAGGACCCGGGGTCGTTAGGCGCGGTGGCCCCAGCCCTCCAGAGTGCCATGAGGTCGGTTAGCTACGTGCAGCGCGTGGCGCTGGACTTCAGCGGGAGCCTTTTCCCGCACGCCATCTGCCTCGGAGACGTCGATAACGACGCGGTGAGTACATGCGCACTGCAAATGACAGCACTTGGGCGGGGCGAGAGGTGGGAAGTAGCTTGTGGTGCGCGTGCGCACTGGAGCCATCATGGCGTACGAAAGACAAACTTGATTGACAGTCTCAGTCCCTGAGCAACATAGCCGGAGGCGTAATTGGACAGGAACCTCTGGAACAGTTTTGGGTTGTTTTTTTTTTTAAGTTTTAAATTTTACGTGTAGAATGTTTTGCTGTATGTACATCTATGTACCACATGTGTGCAGTGTCCATAGAGACCAGAAGAGGCCCATTGGACCATTGGATCCCCTAGAAGTGGAGTAACAGACAGCTGTGAGCTGCTACGTGGGTGCTGGGAATCGAACCCTATTCCTCTGGAAGAGCAGCTAGTGTCTTAACCGCTGTCATCTCTTCAGCCATATGTTATGTTTGTTATTAATAATTTTAAAGAATAGATAATTGGTCCTTTTGCCCAGCTCAATGATTTGTCAGAGTAGGAGCCTTGTAAAGCAGCGATCAAGTTCCCTGCATTATTGCTTTCCCCTAGTCGAAATACCCTTTCAAAACTCTACCTTTCCGAGCCCCCAGTTGGAGACAGCGTTTCTCTAAAACAACCCTGGTTATACTGAACTGCTTTGTAGACCAGGATGTCCTCGAACTCGGAGTGATTCACCTGTCTCCGCCTCCCAAAGGCTGGGATTAAAGGCATGCGCCACCACCCGGCCAATTTTTTTTATACTGGTAAATTTCGTTTAATAATAGCTCTCTACCTATGGCTCTGCCCTCCCGTCTACCTTGCTTGCACACTTGTTATTGCCCTTGGCTTCCGCACTGGAATCAACAGGTAGACTCCTCTGCTGCGGCAGTCGGCTGCAGATAGCCCACAATCAGTCTTGATCATGCCAGGCTTCTCCTGTGCCCACCCAGAATAGACTCAAGTGTCTGGCGACTTCGTAGTGCTACCTGTTTGTTGAATTGCACAAGCTATGCCCACCAACTCTTTTCTTTCCTAGGCAATTGTTCCTTTTCTCATCATTTTTTATAAATAAGTACAGATTACAGAGGTGGAACACATCGCTTCACATCTGGGCGCAGTTAAAGCTCTGGAAATATTAGAGTTATCAGCCTTCCCAATCCAAGTGCTCCATGCCCAGGATTCGCCAGGCCCACATAGGGAAAAGAATGGATCTGTCCTGAACATGTTCAAGTTCCATTTATTGACACCATTACACAAACAGTACGGAATAGCTACTATACATTATATCCCCGAATGAAGGGGATACTTTTGAGGAATGCATTGTTGGATTACATTGTAGTCCTAACATCATAGTGTGTGCTTACACAAACCTGAATGGCATTTATCCTGACATATAGAGCCCACCATTGGCCCAACTCTATGCTGCATGGGTCTGTATTCATATAGCCCTTGAGATGATTTAAAGTGATATGGTAGCAATCTGAGGACATAGCTACCAAACACTTCCCTAACCATGAACAAAGCCCTGGGTTGAATTCTTGGTACCACAGAAATCAATAAAAGAATAAGGATTGAGTTGGGCATGGTGGCACACCTTTAGTCCCAGAACTGGGGAGGCAGAGGCAGGCAGATCTCAGAGTTCAAGGCCAGCCTGCTTGACACAGCAAGTTCTAGGACAGCCAGGACTACACAGAGAAACCCTGTCTCCAAAAAGAGAGAGAGAGCGAGAAAAGAAAAGAAAAATTAAATTGTCCAAGAGGTTATGTACAAACACTAGTCTGTGGTTACAGAATTCCTGAAACCAATGCACCGCTCATACAGAGGTTCAGCTGTACTTTCTGCTGTTCTTATTTTTCTTGCCTACATTGTGAACACCATTGCTATAACATCCTTAAGAATAGGATTTGTGTGTGTGTGAACACCTAAAACTGAAGTTACAAATGGTTGTGAGCTGACATGTGGAGGCTGGGAAGCAAAACTGGTTTTCTCCGAGAACAGCAAGTACTCTAAACCACTAAGCCAATCTCTCCATCTCCCACGCGCAATAATTTTAAAATTACACTTGTTCATTTGCATGTGCGAGTACAGGGTGAGCAGTATAGAGGTCAAAGAACCACACATGCGCCACAGCGCAGTATAGAGGTCAAAGAACCACACATGTACCACAGTGCAGTATAGAGGTCAAAGACCCACACGCGTACCACAGTGCAGTATAGAGGTCAAAAACAACTTGCAGGAGTCAGTGCTCACATCTACCATGTGGATGCTGCCCAGGGATCAAACTCAGGTTTTCAATATAAAATTGTTACGAAAGGCAGTGTGAAAAACAAAATATTGTATGTTGAAGGTGTTGGTCCCAATGCTGTTTTTAAAGAAAGACAAAACAAATGTGATTGTTGCACAGCCACCTGAAGAGCTACATGTGTAGTTAGGGGGAAAGATGGAAGAAGTTGGGAAAATGGACAAGTTAACAAGTGGTCAGCTGCAGCACATGACTATAGATAAGCATTGTTACTGTATGAGGGTGTAGCCCAGTGGCCGGGCACATGTCTAGAACGTGTGAGACCCTGCCTTCCTTCCCCACCACCATGCCAACATAGAAAAAAGAAAGGGAAAAATTTGCTGCTAAGCGAGGTGGTACACATCTGTAATCTCAGTTCTCAGGAGGGAGAGGGAGGAGGATCATTGCAAGTCTGTGGCCACCTTGATCTGCACAGCAGATTCCAGGCCACCCAGGACTACATGATGAAACGCTGTCTCAGAATTACCAATAAAACATGGTTTGTGGCCAGGTGGTAGCGCATGCCTTTAATCCCAGCACTCAGTAGGCAGAGGCAGGAGGATCTCTGTGGGTTTGAGGCCAGCCTGGTCTACAGAGTGAGTCCCAGGACAGCCAAGGCTACACAGAGAATCCTGTCTTGAAAAAAAAAAAAAACCCCACTATGGCTTGTGTGCCAGGCAGTGGTGGTGCACACCTTTAATCCCAGTACTCAGGAGGCAGAGGCAGGTGGATCTGTGAGTCTGAGGCTAGCTTAGTCTACAGAGTGAGTTCCAGGACAGCCAGGACAGGCTACACAGAGAAACCCTGTCTCAGAGGGGAAAATAATATTAATAATAAAAAAAAAAAGCATGCTTTGTGGTCCCCAAATATTTGGTGTTTGGGAATTGAGGACAAAGACTGATTTAAACCTGATAAACCCTTAGCCTAAAGTTCTTTGATGCTCATTTATTTCCTGCTTAGATGGAGGCAGAAGCCAGGGATAAAACATGCTTTTAGGCCACCCACAGAAGCCTGCCTGGATGTGGCACAGCAAGTCTCTGGGAGATGAAACCTTTCTCATTCAGCACTGCTGAGCGTGGTGGACTTTCCCTCGGGGGTTCTTTAAAGTCGCTGTTTGGCCTGGTGAAGCCAGAGCTTAGCTCTGATGGGAACAGATCTGATGGGAAGCTGTCAAGTGCTAGAAAACTGGGAGCCGCCTCAGGTTGCCCGACTGGGTTACATCTGCTTGCTCAGTGTACTTACTGTGCTGTTTTTTTTTTTTTATGTGTGTGTGTGTGTGTGTGATCCTTGCACAGGGGCCATGCTAATCTTCTCTGTATCGTTCCAATTTTAGTATATGTGCTGCCGAAGCGAGCACCTTACTGTGCTGTTTTATGGTTCTTTTTCTGTCTCTGTGGCTCTGCAAAACTGAGAGGTCCTTCTCACCAAGAAGGGAGGATGGCTGAGCATTCTAGAAACTGAGGGCCGGCTGAGCGTTTTCTTTCTTGGGTAAAGTCCCACAGTGTACCTCCCTGAGGCTGACCTGGGATTGGCAGTCCTCCCCCCTTCTTTAACCTCTGGGTGCTGGGATTATAGGCATGCACACTGTTCGTTGTAGGCTCCTCTCAGCATTTTATACGTGAAAAAAATGTAAACAGGAACAGCAGATAAAGACGCTTACCACCAAGTCTGGTGATCTGAGTTTGGGCTCTAGGATCCACATGGTAGAAGGAGAGAGCTGTTTCTTACACACCACGTGGCACACGTGTGTGTGCATAGACACACACACGCAAGTAAATAAATACATGTGATTTTAAAAATATTTGTTTTGGAAGCACAAAGACAATTTTATTAAAACTTAAAAACCTGGCAGGCAAGCTGTCAAACAGCAGCAGCTGCCTGGGGTGAAGAAGGGAAAGGCCATGCCATTTTAGCAGGAAACCAGGTCAGACACGTGACACACGAGCAACTGCATGGTGGGGAGGAAAGCCTGAAATGCCTTCCAAAAGCGCCAAGTGTGAGGGAACGCATGCCTAGAGAGGACAGAGGCAGGGGAAGTTGTGCTTTTCTGGATAGTGCAGAAAAGCAGGCATGCATGTAGCCCTACGTGACCATGGCCCTATAAGTTGTTTGGGTTTTTCTTTTTTGATTGATTGATTTATTTATTATGTACAGTGTTCTGCCTGCATGTACGCCTGTAGGCCAGAAGAGGGCACCAGACCTCATTACAGATGGTTTTGAGCCACCATGTAGTTGGTGGAAATTGAACTCCGAACCTCTGGAAGAGCAGGCAATGCTCTTAACCACTAAGCCATCTCTCCAGCCCCGACCCATAAGTTTCTGCTTTAAAATTTTTAAGAAAAGTGTATTCACTGTTGGAGAGGTGGCTTGGTGTCTAAGAGTACTGGCTGTTCCTCCAAGGACCCCAGTTTTAGTCCCAGCACTCGGGCTCACAACTACCTGTAACTCCAGTTCCAGGGGCCCTGACACGCTCTTCTGACCTCTGAGGACACGTGGCATGCACAAGGTGCACAGACTTACATGCAGCCAAAACATCCATACACATAAAATAAAAATAAATCTTTTAGAGCAAGAGAGAGCTGGGTTTGGTGGGGTGTATACCTTTAATCCCAACATTCAGGAGGTAGAGGCAGGCCCATCCCTGTGAGTTCAAGGCCAGCCTGCTACAGAGTTAGTTTCCATAAGAGTCAGTGCTGTTACTCAGAGAAATCCTGTCAAAAAAAAAAAGACAAAACAAAGAGAGTGAGAAACAGAGAAAGGGGTAAAAATGGGATCAGAAAGATCTGTGTTAAAATCCAACAGTTGCCCTATGAATCCTCTCTCCATGGTGTCTGCAAAAGTTCTCTCAGGTGACTAATTGAGACCTCAGCTGCCAGGGCTGTAATAAGCAGAATATATGCTGCTATTCCCTTTTGTTGTTGTTGTTGTTGTTTGTTTTTTTGTTGTTGTTTTGTTTTGTTTTTCGAGACAGGGTTTCTCTGTAGCTTTGGAGCCTGTCCTGGAACTAGCTCTTGTAGCCCAGGCTGGCCTCCCACAGAGCTCCGCCAGCCTCTGCCTCCAAGTGCTGGGATTAAAGGCGTGTGCCACCACTGCCTGGCTTCCTTTTTTTTTTTTTTATAACCTTGCACAAAACTCCCATAACTATTAAAAATACATTTTTAAAAGTCAAATCATTATGTCAATCCCAGTTTGTCTCAAATTTCTTTATTTTTGGGGGGAGGGCTCTCAGATAGCTGGCTCTAACAGATTCATGTCACTCCTTACTGTAGATCTATACCACGTTAATGTTGTTGATCTCTTAAGAATCTAACTTTAGCTTTCTCTCTTTGGGGGAGACGTTGTCTTCTTCCCAAGAGAAGATCAGGTAATTGTAGAAGCAGGGCTTGGAGCCACCTGACTCCCCAAATGGATTAGCTGTGGTGGGGAGAGGCTCTGTGAAGAGACCCTCCCTCCCCCAGAGCCAAGAGAGACTGACACCAGCAACACCTTCCGGCTCCATCCCTGAGACAGGTCCATTCCTATGTGTTCCCATAATGAAAATCACTAAAACTCAGGGGCCTTGTAAGAAGAGATGGGACCCTGGGAGCTGACTTTGTATTGTTTTTTTAATTATTTATTTATTATATATATAGTATTCTGCCTACATATATCCTATAGGCCAGTAGAGGTCACCAGATCTCATTACAGATAGTTGTGAACCATCGTGTGGTTGCTGGGAATTGAACTCAGGACATCTGGAAGAGCAGTCAGTGCTCTTAACCTCTGAGTCACCTCTCCAGCCCCCTGACTTTGTATTTTTGACCTCTGACAAAATAGGAAGCCTGAAGTAATATTTTTCCAAAGTTCCACTATTGGACTGTTTTCAAAATGTGTTGCGTTTGTAATGGACCAGTGAGTGTACAAGGTTAGGCATTTTTGGGCGGAGAGCTGTGCTGCTAGCTGATCTACCTGGATCACTGCTCGTGTAGAACTTTTCCATTGCGCACACACGGAAGTAAGGTCTGGGAAACTCACTGTGTTGGTTCCAAAATATTTGTTTGTTGTTGGGTTCCCTTTACTTCACCTGTGCCAGGCAACTGCCCTGCTACTGAAACACCCCTAGCTCCTGAGCAACCAGTCTCAGAAGATTTTTTTTCCCCTGAAACATGTTCTTACTGTGTAACCCAGGCTGACCTTCAACTTGCTACCCTCTGGCTTCCATCTCCTGAATGCTGGGATCACAGGCAGATCTACCATACCTCTCGTTGCCTTTTTTTTTTTTTTAAAGACAGTATTAGGCTGACCTTAAATTTGCTACGTAACTTGAGAATGGCCTCAAACTTCCGACAATGTGCCTTCACGTTTACCTCTAGTGCTAAGTTTATGGTGTGTACCACGATGCCTGTTTTCTCTCATTTTTTGTTTTTTTTTTTCTTTTTTTTTTTTAATGTTGTTTTTCTTTTGATTTTTGAGACACTATGTGGCCCTGACTGTAGACTAGATCCTGTGCCTCTGCCTCAGGAGTACAGGGACCAAAGCAATGCCATCACACCCAGCAACCATGCCTAGTTTTATGTGGTACTAGGGATGGGACCAGGGCCTCAGGCGTTTTAGGCAAAGCACGTTACCAACCAAGCTACACCTGCAGCCATCAAAGGCTTTCTTTTATTTATTTTTTTTGTTTTGTTTTTTGTTTGTTTGTTTTTCAAGACAGGGTTTTTCTGTGTAACTTGGGCTCCCTGGAATTTACTCTGTAGACCAGGTTGGCCTCGAACTAACAGAGATCCACCTGCCTCTGCCTCTTAGAGTGCTGGGATTACAGGCATACGCCACCACTGCCCAGCAATGTTAGTTGTTTCCATGACAAACTAAGCTGAGAAGTGGTTTCTGGGATTCTGTAAAATTCCTTCCTAACATTGTTCTCTCTCCGTTTGCAGTTAAATGAACTAGTAGTGGGAGACACCAGTGGAAAACTGTCTGTGTATAAGAACGATGACAGCCGGCCGTGGCTCACCTGCTCCTGCCAGGGAATGGTCAGTCTTTATCTCAGTGGGGCTTGGGAAGGAGCCAGGATACCTTTGTGTTGGTCTGCCAAGGAGTCCCACAGGGGATTCCCTAGCAACTCACCCTAGTTACTGCTTCAGAGTTGTTTTCTGGGGGAGGGTAACCCCAGGAATTGCTCTCATCTGTCCCTCTTTCAACTCTCTCACAAGACTATTTTCTTACTTTGCTTTCTATTGCTGTGATAAAGGTCATGGCCAAAAATAACTTGAGGAGGAAGGAGCTTATTTAAGCTTACAGTTTATAGTCTACAGTGAAGTCGGAAGTTGGGGCAGGCTCTCCAGGAGGGAACCTGGAAGCACGAACTCAAGGAGAGCATGGAACTGCTTTCTTAGACAGCCCGGAACCACCTGGCCAGGGCTGGGCCCTCTCAAATCGGGCATTAATCAAGAAATTGCCTACAAGCAATCTGATGGAGGCATGTTCTCAACTGTGGTTTCTCTTCTCATATAACTCTAGCCTTTGTCAGTTTGACAGGGGGGAAAAAGACAACTATATTGTCCTTCATGTTGTAGGATGAGCTTGCTGCTTTATGGAGGCTGCCTAAGATTTCTGATAGTATGCAGTGCCGCTGACAACAAGGATGCGTTCTGAGAAATGCCTTGTTAGGTTCCTTTAACATCAGGTGTCCACCGCAGCATTTATATAAGCTAACACAGCTACTGTGTTTCCTTAGCTTTATGAGGTGGGGTCTGGCTTTGTAGCTCAGGCTGGCATCCTCCTGCCTCGGCCTCTTAACTGACACGCAGCTGTATGATGAGATCTTATAGGTCTACCATAAGATATGTGATGTTCTGTTGACTAAAATGTCCTTATACAATACATGACTGTATAATAAAAATGGGGATGATAATTGGAATAATCTAGAAATATAATAATCTGGCTATTTTCCTATTTGGTGGGGGTTTTTTGCGTGGGGGCGGGAGGACGTTGTCTTGCTGTGTCGCCCTGGCTATCCTGGAATTCATGGCAGTGCTTCTGCCTCGGCCTTCTGAGTGCTGGAAGAGCACACAGCTAGATTTTATTCATTTTTACCTAAGTCTGAATTTTTATCTGCTTGAGTCTTTGTATTGCTGTATGAATAAACCAAATTATATAGCTCAACGTGTCTGTCAATAAAGACAATTCATTATAGGTCATTTGACACAAGCTTTAGGTGATTAGGAAAGAATGCCATCATTCCTTCATCAGCCTCCTTTTCTCTCTTGCAGTTGACTTGTGTTGGGGTCGGAGACGTGTGTAATAAAGGAAAGGTAAGGACGCGGGGCTTCTCTGGCTAGGGTAGAACCCCAGGTCTTTGCCTCCATTGCGACTCCTTGGGAAGGTCGGCCCTGGCCTTTGAGATCTGCTTCTTAGCCCCTCCCCGCCTCATGCACCTCTGCTGTACCTCTCTCTCTCCCAGAACCTGGTGGTGGCTGTCAGCGCAGAGGGCTGGCTTCACTTATTTGACCTGACATCCACCAAGGCTCTGGATGCTTCTGGGCACCATGAGACTCTTGGAGAAGAACAGCGTCCTGTCTTCAAGCAGCACATCCCAGCCAACACCAAGGTCATGCTGATCAGCGACATCGGTGAGCATGAGCAGCAAAGGGGGAAAGTTGGGTCCATTTTGTACATTGTTGTGTGTTTACTTTTTCTCTTTTTATTTGGTTTTACTTTATTTTCATTTATTGTATGTTTGAGGCATAGTTACTGAGCTCCTACTCAATAACTAGGAACTAGTGTGAGCTAGGAACTGTTCTCTGTTCTAGAATTACAAAGTGAATAAAGCAAGCAAAAAAAAAAATCATACCATCTTAGATTGTTCTGGGAAGAGACAGAATAAATTTTATAAGAAAATTAAATAATGAAGCTGGGAATTTGGCTCAGGATTAGAACACTTGTCCAGCGTGACCAGGCCTGAGTTCATCCCAGCCGAAAATCAGTCATTCAGTGCTATAGTAGAAGGTAACAAGTGTTGGGATAAAATAAATCAAAGGCTGAAGATAGCAAGGTATAGACAGCAATTTAAAAGGTTTCTTTGTATTTAATTATGTGTAGGTTTGTGTGTGGGTTGTGCACATGAGTGAAGGTCAAACCCCTGTAGTTGGAATTACAGGAAGTTGTGAGCCATTTGACATGGTTATTGAGAACCTAACTGGGGTCCTCTGGAAGAGCAGCAAGTACTCTGAACTACTGAGCCAGACCCAAGAGGTAGCGATTTTAAATAGAGTTGTCAGGGACGTTCTTGCTGGAAGGTGGCATTTGGGTAAAGTGACAAGAGTGAGCTTAGCAACATGGGGCTGCTGCTTGACTAGAAGTTATCTAGGTAGGAAGCATGTGCGATGGATGTAGGAAACAGAGAGCAGAGATGGTGAACCCTGCGTAGCATTTCAGTGAGAAACGGCACGAGCAAGACCAGGCCGGAATGGGCAGTTACCACAGGATGTGGTTCATGGCCCAGAAGACTGGACTCAACTGAAAGTGCTGGGAGTGCCGGCTGTGTAAAGGGGGCCGCAGCCCAAGCTGTGGTTCGGCTGCAAATCCATTGTTTCTGTGCCTACAGATGGAGATGGGTGTTACGAGCTGGTGGTAGGCTACACAGACCGTGTGGTACGGGCCTTCCGCTGGGAAGAGCTGGCTGAGGGGCCTGAACACCTGACAGGGCAACTGGTGTCCCTCAAGAAGTGGATGCTGGAGGGTCAGGTGAGAAGCAGAGTTTGGGGACCTACGCTAAGAGCCAGTGAACAGAAAAGTCAAGAGGAAGCTTGTGAGCCAGGCGGTGGTGGCGCACGCCTTTAATCCCAGCACTCGGGTGGCAGAGGCAGGCGGATCTCTGTGAGTTCGAGACCAGCCTGGTCTACAGAGCTAGTTCCAGGACAGGCTCCAAAGCCACAGAGAAACCCTGTCTCGAAAAATCAAAAAAAAAAGGAGGCTTGTGGAATGTGGGGTCCATCTGGGAAGAAGGAAAATGTCCTTGACGAGAGAGGTCCAGCATTCCTAGGCAGGGTCTCAGTGGAATTTTAGTAACAGGCAGAGTACAAAGACTGCACTGAGAATTCAGTGTGTGCTGTGGGGCACACAGCAGGAGCCTGGTCTGGGGTGGGTGGTGCCAGACAAGACTCTTGGACCTTAGAACTCCTCCTATCTCCATCAAACTAGAGGCTAATTCTCAGAAGCCCTGCCCGTGTCTTCCCTGGTTCTAGCAGCAGAGTCTCCCTCCATTCCTGATCTGCCCCTGTTAAGACTCTGTTCTCGGTGCAGGTCGACAGTCTCTCTGTGACCCCAGGGCCTCTGGGTGTGCCTGAGCTGGTTGTGTCACAGCCAGGGTGTGCTTACGCAGTTCTGCTGTGTACCTGGAACAAGGATGCTGGCTCCCCTCCCGCCTCTGAGGAGGCCACAGGAGACAGTAGGTAAGGGGATGAGGTGGTGGGTGCATCAAAGTAAGGGCAGGGTGACATGGTGGTGAGACAGGCCAATGCAGATGCCAAGGCTCCATCATCTAAGCCGCAGCCCAAGCACTTGGCCCTATTAGAAAAGACTGTTTAGGACCAGGAGTCCTGGGCTTTAACTTTACGACATCTGAGCACCATGAGCCGGTCTTTGCAGAGATTCCACCATTCGGATTCATTCCTCCCGGCAGCCCCATCACCCTTCCTTCCTTTTGCTGCATGAGTCAGAACGGGTCAGGGGTGGGCTTCTGAAAGTGAAGCTCCTGCAGTGATGGTGGATATAAAGGGCCTAGAGAACTCAGCTCCCTTGGCCTCCCGTTGGCCCAACGTCTTTCTTACCAACAGGGAAACCCCAGCTGCCCGAGACATAGTGCTGCACCAGACATCTGGCCGGATCCACAACAAGAACGTTTCCACTCACCTAATTGGCAACATCAAACAAGGTAAGGAAGGGGAAGAGCTGAACAAGGCAGTTCTGGGAGAAAGGAGACCCAGGGCCCTGCCCTCATTCCTACCTCCATCCCCCCACAGGTCATAGCCCTGAAACTGGTAACTCAGGTCTCTTTGCCCTGTGCACCCTAGATGGTGAGTAGTCCTGGGCTGGGTGGAGTGGGCGGGTCATGAGCAGACACCCTAAGGGGTCTGCTCAAAGGCCCAGCATATACATATATACACACACACATATGCACACACACTCATAGCACCCCCGCACACCAGCACACACACACATACACACCAGCACATACACATACATACCACACACAGTCACACACACTCACTCATATACACATCCCAGCATGCACACACATACATTGTTACACACCACCTCTCTTCCTGCAGGGACGCTGAAGCTGATGCAGGAAGCAGATAAGCTCTTGTGGTCAGTACAGGTGGATCACCAGCTCTTTGCCCTGGAGAAGCTGGATGTCACGGTGAGTGGACTTTTTCCCTTTCTGAGATTCATTTATTTACTTTTATGTGCATAGATGTTTTGACTGCATGTATGTCTGTGTGCCACATGTATGCCTGGTACCCACAGAGGCCAGAAAAGTGCATCAGATCCCCTAGAACTGCACTTACAGACAGTTATTAGCCACTTTGTGGGTGCTAGGAATCAAACCCAGGTGCTCCAGAAAAAAACAAGCCATCATTCCAGCTTCATGAGAGACATTTAAATGTAGCCATGCCCACATCCCAGTCAACAGTGAACCTTTTTCTTAGACAAAATGAATGTGTCCCTTTCTTTACACTCAAGCGTGCCCTTATAGCACAGAATTTAATACTTCTCTTTGAGGCTACTGGAAAATTATTTCCATGCCTTTCAACCAAAAATAATAGTCCTAAAGAAAGCAGGCTACAGGTCTAGAAGTGGGCTATTTGTCACAAATGTAGCTGAGTCTTGTGGTTTCTTCTTGTCCACAAGTCTGTTTTTTATCAGTGTAGCCCTCAAATGACAGGGCCTACATTGCTCACACTGTGGTGCGTGCTCCATGGCTTTGACCAGTAGAACAGATCTGTGTTTGGGTCTTGCCCCTGCCTGTGACCTTGGGCTTTATTATCCCTCTAAGAAGAAATTTCCCAGTATAAAACTGAGAATACGGGGTGGTGGCGCACACCTTTAATCCCAGCACTCAGGAGACAGAGGTAGGTGGATCTCTGTGAGTTCGAGGCCGGCCTGGTCTACAAGAGCTAGTTCCAGAACAGGCTCCAAAGCTACAGAGAAACCCTGTCTCGAAAAATCAAATAAAACTGAGAATAATGTTTGCATCATAGTGTTGCTTTGAACATTAGGCAAAGTAGATTACGATTGCCCTGTTGGGAACTTGGCACATGGGAGAACTACCCCAGTTTATGGTTTGCCACCCAGGGTCAAGCTCACGGTTCTTACATCTCACTGCTCCACCCCACCATCAGATCTTTTGTTCTTTTCTGACACAGGAGCTCGCTATGTACTGTGTAGCCCAGGCTGGCCTCTGCCTCTGCCTCTCAAGCCCTGAGATTACAGGTGTGTGCTACTACATCTGACTAGGTCTCTTTCTAAAGTAGCCCCTGACCCTTCTGGCACCCTGTCTTTGACCTTTTTCAGGACAATGGGCTTGAGGAGGTGGTAGCGTGTGCCTGGGATGGGCAAACATATATCATCGATCACAACCGCACCGTCGTCCGCTTCCAGGTGGATGAAAATATCCGTGCCTTCTGTGCAGGTGGGACAGTAGCCTCTGAGCTCAGCTACTCAAGCTTAGTAAATGTGCTGGAAAGTGATTGACTTGTTTCCATTAAGTGTAGCCCAAACACAAATGGGTTCCTTAGTTTTCACTGGTGGGTGATGGATGGGTACCACGCTCCCATCTTGACAGTTTGTTTTTTTTAATTTGGATGGGAAATTTTATTTATTTTTATATGTCTAAATGTTTGCCTGAATGTATGTCTATGTATCATGACTGTGCAGTGCCCACAAAAGCCAGAAGAGGGTATCATATCCTCAGAACTCGCTGTACAGATAGTTGGGTGTTAGAAATTGAACCTGGTCTTCTGAAAGAGGAGCCAGTGTGCTGAGCCACCTCTCCAGCCCCATCGTGGCAGTGTGGAATGAGACGCAAGCACAGTGAGGGCTCCGTCTCTAAATGTGTGAAGAGTGGGATGGCCGTGGGAGAATGTTTCCAGCTGATCATGGCAGGCTGAAGAAAACACTTCCCGAGTATTCTCTGTAATCTTAAATTCGGGACTTTGGAGCTGCGGTAGCTATTTGGGTGGCAGGGATCTGGCTAATAAAATGACAATGGGACAATGGGCTGACAGTATACAGTTTGGTGGCAGAGCCTTGACTGACAGGTACAAAACGGGGCTCAGTCGCCAGGACCCCAAAATAAATGGAAGGAGCTGGGAAACTCCCCAGTTACCTGAAAGGTTGGTGTGTGCTTTGAAAGGAAGAAGCAGGCTGGTTATTTTGTTAACCTGCCCTTTGCACTAGCAGGGCTGTCTCTTTTACTCCAGAGTACCACCAAGATGAGAAGACCTACAAATACATCTTTTGGGGTGCTGACTGTGTCTTTCCCATATCTAGAATGTGATATGTTTTACTATTTTACATACTATACTGGGTTCTTAGCAGAGAAGAAATAGGAAAGGGGCCTTTGTGGATTGATCTCTGTGAAGGGCTAATACTGCTGCCTCTGATGTCTTCTTGCCCTTACCCTCCTCCCGCCACCAGGACTAAGTCTTGACGTTTGTCTTCTTGCCCCCGTCTCCCAGGCCAGTATGCTTGCAAAGAGGGCCGCAACAGCCCCTGCTTGGTATACGTCACTTTCAATCAGAAGATCTATGTGTACTGGGATGTGCAGCTGGAGCGGATGGAGTCCACTAATCTGCTGAAGCTGCTGGAGGCTGAGCCTGAGTACCACAGCCTCCTGCAGGAGCTGGGTGTGGGTGAGTGTCAGCACAGCCAGTGGCCCCGCCCCCGGAGGCCCGGCAGTGGCAGTCTCTCACCTTCTCTTCTTGGTCTTCAGATCCTGATGATCTCCCTGCAGTCCGTGCCCTGCTTCACCAGACTCTCTACCATCCGGACCAACCGCCACAGCGTACCCCCTCAAGCTCCCAGGATCCCACCTAGCTGGACTTGGCCACTTAGCTGATGAAGGATCCTTCTGAGCCCCCACCCTACCCCCAAAGTGATCCATGATCTTGGCTGGATGGGGAGTGCATATTACGAAGGAGCAGGACCTGGTTCTCGGCATGGACGGATGGTGGCACCCCTGAGAGCCTTTGATGACATGACGAGAGCCTCTGATGGGTGCCCCGGCTCCCTGTGCTTCCCTCCCCACTTTCTTACTCTGATTGCAGAAAACAGGCTTGTTTGTGAGAAGAGGCAGCAAACCTTTCCCATGGTGCCAATACCCGAAAGGGCACCAGGCTTCAGGCCTGAAGGACTGCGGGAGCAGTGGATGAGCCCTCACCTCTCCCAGTCCCAGTGAGTGCCCATTTTTGCAGCAGCTCCAGGCAGCTGACGTGAGTAATCACTGCAGGAATGGCAGAGTGTTTGTTCACAGTTCTGAACAGGCATCCTTCAGGGCATCTTGTCTTCCCTTCCTGTGTTCTTCATTTACTGAAGCAACCAGGTCAGGGCTTTCTCACTTTGCTGCTCTCTCTCTCTCTCTCTTGTTTTGGTAGTAGTGGTGGTGGTTGGGTTGCTTTTTGTTTGTTTTTGTTATTGTTGTTGTATGTGCCTGTGTGTGTGCAGAGGTGGAGCCCAGGGCCTTGCACATGCCAGCCAAGCACTCTGCTATTCAGCTGCACTCCAGCCCTGCCATATTATAAAATTGTTTTTTTGTTTCTGTATTTTTGTTGTTGTTGTTTTGGTTTGGTTTTTCAAGACAGGGTCTCTCTGTAGCTTTGGAACCTGTCCTGGAACTCTCTCTGTAGACCAGGCTGGCCTCAAACTCAGAGATCCGCCTGCCTCTGCTTCTTGAGTGCTGGGATTAAAGGCGTGTGCCACCACCTCCCAGGTCCAAGCCTTTGACAGATTGTGGCTAGAGTTTATGTGTGTGATGTGTTCGCGGATACATTTTACCCTTGCACACCTGGGTAATGGAGTATGGAAACCAAAAGAGGATGTCCAGTCTCCCACATTCTTTCTCTCCACTTTGTTCCCTTGAGACAGGGTCTCTCTCTGGACCTGAGGCTTTCTGCTTCATCTAGCCAGCTGATCAGTAAGACAACTGTTTGCCTGTGTCTGCACCGCACAGTGCTGGGCTCACAAGCATCTGAGCAGTATATATATATATAATTTATTTTTGTTTTATGCTCATTTGTCTTTTGCCTGCATGCGTGTATGTTGATGTGAGGGCATCAGAAGCCTTGGAACTGGAATCACAGGCAGGTATGAGCTGCCATGTGGGTGGTGGGAATGGAACCCTTTTTCATGGGTCTTGGCTTTGAATCCAGGTTCCCATGCTTGCATGGAAGTGCTCTTCTCTTTCCCACTAAGGCATCTCCCCGGCCCTCAGGGCTTTTGAACTAAGTGAAATGGAGTAAAATAAAATGGAGAACGTCAGATCCTTTGTTCACAATGGAGGTAAATATTGATCTGTTGCAATTGCATGTGTATTTGTGTAGCACCTATGGTGTAAAATGTACTTCACAAGCCTGTGTTCCAGCTTGGGAGAGGGACCCCATTCACACTTTCCCTGTGGGTCTGAGGGCAGAGGTTCTGTAGGCTCCTGGAGTTAAGGAGGAAGAGACCAGAGAAGAGCATGGCTTAGAGAAACAGTATTTATTTCAAATGCAGAAGCAGGCTAAGGGCCTGCCCTGGGCCAGGTCTGCCACTACAGGAGCAACAGGAGGCAGACTAGGGAAGGAGCATAGGTCTCGAAGCAATGTGATGAGAAAGTCAGGATTGAGACCAGGTACCATGGCACTTAGGCTAAGCCAGCCTGCTCTTGAAAGTGAAGAAAGTGAGGCTGTGTCCCGGCTCCTCTTTGGTCTCCCCTAGGCTTAGCATTTAGTCCCCATGTAAGAGACCCGGCTCCCTAGTTTGGGTTAGATATATCATTGTCTCTCTTCCCCTAACCATGGTTTGAGAGTCAGCCCAGGCAGAAAGACACTCAGACATCTGCAACCCAGACAGGGTAATGACTAAAATCCCCCAGCTCAGGGACTGTACCTTCCTAGACAGACAGCCCCACTTGCTTAGCACTCCCACCCAGTGGTAAACAGGTGGGGGCAGGATCAGAGGGCCAGCTGCCAGGGGCGCCAGGAATCTGGTTGTGATTGATAAGCCATAGAGGTAGGAGATTAGGGGTAAGGACAGTGGAGGAGTGCTTGGGGTGGGCTTCAGGCAGGTGGAGGCAGCAGGTAACTTTGACCCCCACAGCCAGGAGAAAAGTTTAGAGCCCACTTGCTGTAGGTTCTTTTCTGTAACTAACTTGACTGTGCTCTTCGGAAGGGATAAGAGAGTGGGGAAGCCACAGATACTCTGAGTAGGAACTCCTGGGACAGCAATGAAGAAGGCAGCTATGGAGAAGCAGAGACGGGGTGGCAACTGCAAGATCAGGGTGGTGAAAAAGAGAGACCAATGCAGTGGTCTCAAGATGCCCTGCTCAGGTAATGTCCCACTCCACACCACTCTTCCCCTAAGGCACAGTGTCGCCCTAGGGACTGGCTGAGACAGTGGTCACTGGCCAGGCTCTTGGTACAGAGGCAGGAAGGGCAGCTCCGAGAAGGGGGCTTTCAGCCGAAGCACTCCACGGTCCAGGTCAATGCAGCACTGCCATGGGGACCCCGAATGTGTTGTCACCTCCCTGCCAGCTCACACATGCTCCCCTTCCTTCTGCCTCCCCTTGCTTCTATGCCCTGCCCCTTCAGGAAGGGAACCCATTCTCTTGATTTTCCTTTTGGGGCTAATTAAGCAAGTTCCAAGTTTTATACCTCTTTGTCTTTCTCACCAGCCTGCTCTGGGCTTCCGCCCTGAGCCTTCTACCTCTTCTAGCATTTTGGGGTCACCAAGCATGGGTGTCTTACCTTGAGGGAAAGTAAAGTCTGCAGTCCCAGGCAAAATTCAGGGCTGTCCACATCTGCAGGAACCATTGGAAAATTAGGTTGCATTCATGACCACTGATGCACTCATCCCTTTCCTTCCCAGTCCACCCCCAGCGTTGAGAACAGCAGGGTGGGTAATAATCTGAGCATCTTGGGATGGTGTGCTGACAGGGGCCACAAACCTCTACCTCTGTCCTGCTCAGAGGAGGTGAGAGGCTGGAGGGCTTACCTACCACCTGGGCCGAGCATGCCACAGTCCCCTGTCCCAGCTCTAGCTCCAACTCTTCCACCTGACTTGGTGGCCCAGGTGCCAGGTCCCCACCTGGGGCTTTTGGGACCTTCCTGTGGTTAGAAAGCAAGGGTTATAGCTTTCTATAACAGTCCCCAATCCCAGCCCCCCACAGTTAAAATGCCAATTCTGATCATGCTCTCTCTCAGTCCCTGAGCCAGGGGAGATATAACCCCTTCCTGCTAGGGCTACCTGACCACGCCCCCCCACACACACTTTTAAAACATAATATGTACTAAGATAGAGTTTGTATGTCATCAAGTTCACACTTGGTTGTAGGTTCTGTTTGGCTTGGTGGGGGAAGGCTGTTTTTTAGAGGTTGGGCTGACTCAGACAGCTTATGTAACCAAGGCTGGCCTTGGGTTCCTAGCTCTCCACCCCCAGATGTTACAGGCTTGAGCCACCCCTGTGGGATTCCCCTCTGTATGCTGTGATTATCATTTATGAATGCAGAAAACTGCTTTGGATCTATAGCAGGGCACAACTTAGCTAGACAAAGGGGTGGGGTAAAAAACTAAACTGAATGCTGGGAGGAAAAAGGCCGAGTCAGAGAGAAGCCTTGTAGCCCCACTGAAGACAGATGCCAAAACTTTAGCTGGTAAGCTACAGCTACATGGCGATACACAGATTACTAGAAATGGGTTAAATTAAGGGTTAGCCAATAAGAAGCTAGAGCTAATGGGCCAAGCATTAACTAATGTTTTAATTAATATAGTTTCTGTGTGACTATTTCGGGGCTGAGCAGCCAAAAACCAACAAGCAGCCCCTTACAACAAGCCACCAGGCCCAGCAAAATTCACTCCATAAAAGTGCAATTCAGAGCTAGGCATAATGGCACACACCTTTAATCCCATCACTTGGGAGGTAAGACATAGTAAATAAGACCTTGTCTCAAAAATAATAATAATAATAATAAGTGCAATTCAATGCTATTCAGTAGTCTGTCAGTGCAACCATCTTCACTAGAGCCTTTGAAGATATTTCATCACCCCAAAAGAAACCCTATCCTGAGCCCAAGTGTATCCTGTAGTCTCAACACAAACCCACACGCAAGAGGCTGAGGCAGAAGGTTGTTGAATTTGAGGCCGGTCTGGGCTATATAGTGAGACCCTGTATCACAAAACAAAAAGTGGGGGAAAGAATGCGGCTGCTGTCTGTTGGTTTAGACCACTCTTACCCCAGGCGCCTGAGGCATCCAGCAGATATCTGGTTGTGCTGCATCCCTGTGTTTACAGCCACTCGAAGCATCTGGTCCTGGCACTAGAAATCAGAGTGACGGATCTGTGAGTCCCCCAGGAGGGATTAGGTTTGAACCCTCGACTCTCTGGGTCCTTTGATCCTTCCCTTTTAGAGATGGGTGGAGGGAATGAACAAGTTTCCAAAAGGGAAACTCTCCCAAAAGGGAATCAAAGGAGCTGGATTCCACACGGTGAGATCACTGAGTTGAGAAATATCTGGGCCAGAATGGAAATCTTATTTGTTTAGAGGAATCCATGGGAGGTTGAGGGACCTTCTGCTAGTCAAAGGGCTGCAGGTCAGGAAGAGGCTAAGAAGACAAAGTTCTGCACACTCTCAGATTTGGGTTACCAAGAATGGAAACGAGGAGACAGGCATCAGGGTGAACACTTGGATGCATACGCACGAGGCAATAGTTTTCTTGTTCCAAACATTTATTGAGCATCTACTACATAAGATGTATGGCTAGTAGATACTTCTTTAGTGAGTGCCATCCTCAGCAGTGTCAAAGAGATAAAATATGGCTCCACGTTGTAAGGTCTATGAAAGGATCATGAATTGAGTGCCCCAGAGCTTGGGGAGGACAGGGAGCTGATTCCTGTTGGTCAGAGAAAAGCTTTCTATGAGGAGGCAGCTTCTGAGTTGGGCCTTAAGAAATAAGAATGTGGACAAGGGATGGTTGGAGATTAGGAAGTAAGATTTCTGGGCAGAGAGACAGTGGACACTTATTGGAATGTTCCACTAGCAGGAGCTTTGGGGCTGCAGAGATGGTTCAGTAGTTAGGAGTATTTGCCACTCTTTCAGAGGACCTGAGTTCAATCCCTTGATTGGGCAGCTCACAACTCCCTGCAACTCCAGCTCCAGAGATCCACCAGCCTCTCTGGCCACTGCGCACACACACACATGACATCACAAACACATAAATTTTAAAAAGATTTTTTTGCACTTTGGAACATGAGCCTTTTGTACTCATGCATACATTTCCAAAGTGTATGATACAGTAAAGGAGACTCACATATGTAAATAAGCTTTGCTAAAAGCATGGGAGCATAGTACTGCTGATGGATGGCCTTTTTCAGAGAAGACAGGTATGACAGGGGAGCAGATGCAGGGACAGAGAAGGAGAAAAATGACTTTGCTCTTTTTGGCTGCTGATGCAGAAGGGAGAGCTGGTAGAGAGAGCAGGCTCAGCAAGCAAGGGAAAGGACCCCAGGAAGCCTCTTACCTTGCAGTTGACAAGAAGAGCTGGCCTCTGTGTCTCACTGGTCCTGCCGCTGTCGTGGCTGGGGATCTGTGCCTGCACCAGGGGAGACTCCCCCTGAAGCCGCCTCTGGTTTCCCTCCACCAGGCGTCTTTGGAGCACACTGTGTGGCTGCTGGCTCCATCACAAAATAGTGAAAGCAGATCTAAGCCCAGGATCCAGGCTGTGTGCTTCCCCACCTCTATGCCTTGCAAACTACAAGATGCTTGCTCTACCCCAGACCTGAGGAGCAGTAAAAGAGTTGCTGAGGGATGGCTCAGTAGGGAAGAGCACTGGCTGCTTTTCTAAAGGACCTGGGTTTGATTTCTAGCACCTACGCAAAGGCTCATAACTAATTCCAGTATGGTGCAAGTCTTGCATTGACAGAACAGGTTATCCCAGCACTTGGGACATGATGGAAAGAAAATTAGAAGTTCAAGGTCATTCTATGGGGAAAGTCTGAGGCCAGCAGGGCTCAAACGACTCAAATGTAATTTTTTTTTTAAAGATATAAGCAGAGTGCTCAGGTCAGAATAATGAGCCATCATTCTTGACCTCTCATCTCCAGCTATCATCCATCCTATCACTGCCTGTATTCTGCCAGCTCAGCTTCCTTTCTTTGAAGGGATATCTGATGTATCTAGACTCCCACAACCTTCTTGGGCCACTGGAACCTCTGTCCACTCACAAAAAAAAAAAAAAAAAAAAAAAAAAAAAAAAAAAACCTGCTTCCAAGACTTGTCTTTCTACACTAACTTAGCTAAAGC